TGTCGTCAAAATCTATGCCAATTTAGACCGGGTATCCAGACATACTTCACGGTTGTGATTTTCTTTGTTTTGAATTGATGAATTATTAATGAGTTGAGAAGTTGCTAACCAAGATGTATTTTGTTTTACTTTGTAAGAAAACTCTGGCTAAATGCCGTACTTCGAATAATCTAATTGTCTTCGTAAAAATCTAATAGTCGTTCAAAATTTTGTCAAAACCGTCTTCACAGACACTTCGAAAACGCAAAGAAGCGGTCGCCATTTTACTAACACCGTACACTGCTTGGGTAATCACTATCTACAACAGAATGGACAGTGAGTAGCGTTGTCAATAGTGATGGAATGCAAGTAGATTTATACTAAAACTGGATAGAATCACAGAAATTCGTTTAAATATGACCCGCCTAGATTAGCTCAGCTATCCGCGGTCATGTTATAATTGTAATTTTAATTTGAAAACAAAATAAAATGTACGTATGTATGTATGTAGAACTAGCACGAGACGATGTCGATGGTCGAACTGAGCGAGTGGAAGCAAGTTATAGAAACACGAGTGAAAATTTGGAGGAATACAAAACTGTTATGGAAACACTCACTGCGGCAGAAACACGGAAATTAGTTCCTATTTCGTAAATAGTGAAGTGCTTGTTATGTTCGGAAAGCTCTGTTTGTTTCAGATGGGACGACTGTAGTCGGAAGCTCTTCTAACGCCTCGAGAGTTTCCGAAAGCAGCCCTATTTAGCAATGTTGTGGGCTTTTTTCTGATTGGTTGATAAAATTGTTTTATCAGGCTACCAAAGCGCTCGATATTAAAACGATAACAGCGAAACATTACTCCATTGCCTTACCTTCATTTAACGGTTGCAAGATTGGTTTCCACTTTTGTTGATACAATTTTATGGTTTTCAACCAGCTTATATAAAGCCTGGAAGGGCGTAAATCTGTAAATCTGGAAGGGTGTGACCGCGGCTGGAAAAGCCAAGAAGGAACCGGCTAAAAGTGAAGTGGCCGAGGGGGAATGGTGTGAGGGCTGGGGCGTCCTCCTCTCTCTTCCGGCTGTCTCTTCGCCCCATCCTCGACTAGAGAGCCTGTTCACAGGCTACTGAAGACTCACGATTTGAGTACACGGAAAAAAAAACGTGTAATTTATTGTCCCCAAATTCGCTCGGAGAAAACAGTAAATATTAATAGATCGATTCACCCGCTCGTACCAGTAATAAAAATTAACTCTTGAATAGAACTTATTAAACTGTGTTAAAAGCGAATGTCAACTGGCTGGTATATGATGCGCTGCGGCCATGAAAAGTGGATATCCCAGAATCCTCATGGCCACTCTTTGGTCTCTCTCTCTCTTTCCTACATTCTTCTATAGTTATATTTAACAATTAGATTATGAGCTCTCGATTTCTATGAGGTGACAGTTGATTCGGCCTTCGGCCTCATCAAGTATCACCTCACAGAAATCGAGAGCGAATAATCTAATTGTTTTAGTAGAATTCTCACTAAAATTTACCTCAAATAAGGATTTCCAGTTATTTCTTGAGGTATTATTAAACTTTGCGCCTGAAAAACATCGCTCAGATTGACTTGTCATTTAAAATCGAAGTTATGTGCGCGCGCGCATCAGTATTTTCAACAATTTCAACTTTTTTAAAAGTCAAGAAACCGTAAATGTCCTTCGTTTAGACTTCTCAGGAATTCAACTATCCATTTGCATCAAAATTTCCCTCCAAAACTTCGGAAAAACGGAAAAAACGTCGACATTTCTTAGGCGACCTACAGCAACCGCACACTAACGGCTGATAGTGTTCAATGGCTCAGCCAATCAGATTAGAGCATTTGCATTAGTATACTAGTAGAATTCTACTAAATGCATATAGTTATATAATCTCTATCATTACGTTTTCTATAGTTTCTTTTTTCGTCTTACCTTTCTTTTGTAACTGAATAATGTGAATAAAGATTGTTGTTGTTGTCTTGTTTTCATCTCTAATAGTAGTAACCGGATAGAGACAAAACAAACATTTTTAAGTACTCCAGCCTTTATTTATCCACTTCTTACAATTTCTTTCTAACAGGTGCTTGCAAGAAATTCCTGCCTAAAGAGTCACCAAATTTACCCAATTACTTCCGCGCATATTTTGTCGGCTAACCATTTCATTGTTCCTAAGTTGACCGTCATTTCATTCATGGAGATAGACATCATTGCCATCAGTCTTCCTCCCTGAAATAGAAAAAAGAAAATGATTGAGTATTAACTAGGGTTATTTACCATTAGAATGTAAACTTTGCTACCGAGAGGCAAATGAAAAAGTGACGCAACACTTGCAGGCGGACCTGAGTCAGGCCCAGGCCACATTGGTGGGAGGCGAGTGCTCTCACCACTACACCATCCCTGCTTCCCTGAAAATGACCCAAAGGGTTTAAAAAAATTACTTCGTGGTAGCAAGAGGTTCGAGCTTTTGGGGCTTCGAGGTACCGATAGTAAAATTACAATAAATTAAGACGCAAATCCACTTAAAATAAAGTTGGATCGAGTAAGCACAAGTTTCGTGTAACGGGGGCTCGAGTTATTAAGGGAGTCCAATGTATTTTGTAAATCTATAACACCTGTTCGGACAGCAGCACTTCATAGTGGAGTCTTGACAGAGCTTCGCACACTCATCGTAAGGGCAAGAGCCAGAATCTGGCACACATGTGCCACCGATAGAAGAACAATAGTCTGTAAACAAGAAAAGATTACCCTCTTGTGAGCAATAACAGAGGGTCTAGACGAGGGTGCTAGAATCTAAGTTATTAGCTAAATTTTCATCGATATTTTAGCCGCGGCTACCGGAGTCAAGCTAAAAGATTTCAGCCGATTTCTCACTTAGCTATCAATAAATGTCGCAGATCTCGCATCTCAGCCATCCACATGACTTAGCTGGTTTCTTTATAGTTGTATCGCTACGATCGCTAGAGACAAATTTTAAGCGATCTAAGACTACCAGTCTCCATGATTGATACAGAAAATATTAATGCCCGAGACGGTCTGGTCCTAACACAACCTCATTCCCATGGCTTTAAGGGAAGAGAGCATGGGAACGAGGTTGGTTCTAGCAAAGACGGACTGCATTTCGGAATATTTATCATTGTAAAAATCGCTATAATTCTTGGAGAGAGGTCTACATGTAATCGCAGCAATTGTTACGATTAAGGAGATAGATAGAACTGAAGGCTATTTCAGCAATCGTTGCCGCAAAGTCCGATAGTGTTGTTTCCATACGCTGGGGCTTTGGCCTTTACGGCTAACGGTTGATTTATTTTCCTTACGGTTAACAGTAATTAGCTTTCAAGCCACAAGAGATCTTGAGACTTTCACTTTCGTGGCTAAAACTGTTTCACGGTTAACGTTTTTTCAAGCCTAACGGATAATTTCCAATTTTGACGCCTGAAAGCTAAATTTTGTCACGTTTTACTGCTGATAGCTAACCCAACTGCGACCCTCAACTATCGTTGACTGACTTTTTTCGGCTATCACAGCGATCATGCGCAGTGAGCAGTTCTCAGTTATCAGTTAAACCACTTCCATGACCTTGATGTCCACAAAAAAAGAACATTGCGACAACTTGCTACTTACATCCGGGTGGCGGTTTCTGACGCAAGAAATAAGCCCGCACGCGCACGGAGTTCTTGTTTAGCTTCCCCGGGCGTGCACCCTGCACGATAATGGTCCCCAAAATAATCAGTAACAGAGAAAAATGAAACTTGGCTGCCATGAGCTTCCTACAACGGAAAAACAATTCGTATTATATTCTTAACAAATCTCAGAATTAAAAGCTCACTAAGCTTTGTGCAAACAGTCGTAAAGTCACAGTGTATTCTTTGGCGGGATTGAGCGTATAAATCCAGTTGAGTATTTCACTTTTCTCACCCACGTTACATAGCTTTTCTCTTTTCTATTTCTCAATCAAATGTAAACCGCGAAACGGCGAGAATGAGCCACTACTTCTTCTAGGTGGCACTGAGAAAAAAAAGGAAAACTTCTAGGACCAGGCTACATTTTTAAAAGCTCATTTCAGTCGTTTAAAGGTTAACGTTCGATTTGAGTCTGATAACATTTTTATAGCTGGCAAAGTGAAATAAAGATTCAGCTTGCGAGCTATATTCCCGGCGTGGTCAATCGAACATTCGGAAACTGAACTGAGTCGAACCCAATCGAACCCAATCGAATCCAATCGAACCCAATCGAACCCAATCAAACCCAATCGAACCCAATCGAACCCAATCAAACCCAATCGAACCCAATCAAACCCAATCGAACCCAATCGAACCCAATCGAACCCAATCGAACCCAATCGAATCCAATCGAACCCAATCGAACCCAATCGAATCCAATCGAATTCGGATTGAGTTCCGCAATCGAAACAAATCGAACAATGAAAGACTGATTTCCGAATCAATCGAACAAATCGAACCCAATCGAACTCAGTCCATTAGATTGTGCTCAATTGTGCTTGGTGAATAAATTCGGGATCAATTTTTGTTTCTAAGAATAAAGCCGAGAGACTTCAGTCCTTATTCATATCCTAATTACTCATATCCTTGAAGTGAGACTTGAGTAATTATTCACTTAATTCCATAAGGAAAAAGCATTTAACCATAATGTCTTAGAACAGCTGAAAATGACAAAAACACCAAAACTACTCAGCAAAACCCCAAACTCGCGTAAAAGCAGAAACCGTTTTTCAGGCTGGAAGGTCACAAGAAAAAGAGACTCAGTTCAGTTGACTTTCTATGGAAAAAAATTAAATGTTCAGCAACAACAACAACAAAATGCTGTGCTGCAAAATGATAGTCAGAGATCACGCCCTCTTGTACTTCTCCCCGATAAAGGCTGTGTTCTATTTTTAAGGTTCGAGAATAAAGAAATTATAATTTTTTTTTCCGGCAGATTATTATTCGCTGGAAAGAATAGTTATCTGCTCCATCGAACGTTTCGTTAGAAAACTGACGATATTTCGGCTTATTGTATTGCATGAAATTTGCAGTAACTGGTTCACAAGTTTGCGCCACTTCGCGGAAAAATTCAGAGAATTGTATGGAAAATTAAAAACACTACTGGACGCTTTCTGGCACAGCTACATCCCTCAAATTGCTAGTGCAGTCCCTTCTCTAGTATCTTAACTCTGTGGAAAATAGATGGGGTTAATATTTTGTAATTTATAGGTCATAGGATCCATTCCCAGTAAGAGTGGGGGTTATATTTTTTTCTTCTTTTCAAAAGATCACCTCGCCACGTTCATATTTATTTTCAGTGTCGTGACTCTAGCGAGGCGCAGTGGCGTTTACCGTCTAAAAATTTCGATCAAGGTTTGACATATATCATTCGAAATTTCGTACAGTTCAAACATGAGGCTATTTTTCAGGGTTTTGAATTTTAAACAAATATGGACCAAGAAAAAAGAAGTGGTCACAAAGTGACGGAAATAACTGCTCACTTGATTGATGTACTGATCAGAACTAACACTATATTGACTTGTTTCATGTCTGATATTCCTACCTTTTCCTTGGAACTTGTTATGTATCACAGAGTTAAAACACTTTCTTCAAGTACTGCCGACTACAAATGGCGAAAATGATTCTAGAATTAATCTTTAAGGCCTCGTATAATTTATGCTTTTGCGTGCGACTGCCATCTTTTTGGCTAAAAGCATTCCAATACCTAAGCACTGTTACACCGACTACCAAAACACTTATGTCTGGCTTGTTTTTATTTTAGAATCTTCCCTGGGCCTATAGGGCATGTTTTAAGCCAGTTCGTACCTCAAAAAAAGGCGAAATGGTATGCCATTCATTTTCACTGTTTGATTGAATTACAATTTTATTTCACATTTTTCTCACAAGGGAACCTGGAGTTAATGGTCTACCTGAAACGGAGAGCACCTTGGTGAGGAGTTTTGGATTGAAACATTCTGCTATTAGGGCATTAGAGTCAGCAGTTATCCGATACCCCGCCTTGTAAATCAACTGATATACCAGTAGAATTTTAACCAAAGTAAATGAATCTCACTGGTAGCTTAAAAGTCTGCAGCGCAACTTGGGACAACCCTTATCTTTGTCGCATGAGAAAAAGTCGGAAAATTTCATGCAATTTTCATATATTTTTGTCGTAGAGCACTGAATTAATCGCGCACTTTTTGAAGAAAACTCACACGATAATTATGAAACATGCTTAGTAATCTTTTTCCCGTCCGATTTTTGTCTTTCGACAAAAATGGATGAAAATCGTGTGGTAAGGAGCCGCACACCTTACTGATAAAATCTATAAATGGGACTAAAATTAAATTGGCCTTTTGCCGTAAAGGTGTGCGCCGACTTTTAAGGAACAAATGCATTATGAAATAATTGGAAGACCCATGATTATATCGACCGCTAATGGCTTTCTAAACGTCTATTTCTAAGGGCGTTGTTTTCGAAAGCTTTCCAATGTCAATATTTTATTTTAAATAGCCAAGAGTACGTGTTTCTTGAGTGCCGTTGTAAAAATGATTTCAACTTTCTTTTTTTCCAGAAACAAAAAACAAACGAAGCCTAATCAGTGAGCGGTCTTGTGGACTTGTAGCTCTAGCTAAAACTGTGACCCCCAAATTTTGCCATTCCTTGCTCAAATATTTCGCCTGTTTGCTACACGGAGATATCTGCTTCTGCAGACAAGGTATTTTACAAAATGCAAAATACTTTTAGCTTTTAGCTACAGGTAATTAAATACACAGGCTGCTTAGTTATATTCGGTATCATAAAATTAACTTCCTGATGAGTTCTGCGCAAGACAGACGAAAAGCGTAGGAAAAAAAAGTTTCACAACCACGATTTCGAATTCAGTACTGCTTTCTAGCTTAGCTTCAAAATAATAATGTTTAAGCCGAAATAAGAAGTAAAAAGGATAAAAAGAAACTAAAAGAGAGTACCTCGATGATGAGTAGTGGACAGGAATATTTCGGTTATCAGACCATTTGGCTCAGCAGTTATCTGATATATCCCCTGGTTAATAAGCCGCCGCACACCTTTGCCACAATCTCGATTTTTATCCCATGAAAAAACAACGAAAAGAATAAATCACGTGCAATTTGTGAAATATATATTTTTCTTGTTTTTTCGTACAACATTTAATCCCACGTTTCTCAGATCCCCACTTACGACGAAAATTTCATGCGACAATTATCACACATGTTTCACAGTAATCTTCATGGAAATTTCTATATCGGTTCAGATCAGGATACAAATCTTCATTCCAAGTGGTCCCATGATTATAGCGTTGTTATGTTCTCCCTCGTATAAGATTATTTCAAAGCACGTCGTAAGCTATTCTGTACTAATAAACCGTGTTCTTGTAAGTCCAGGCGTAACAGAATAACTTGACAGAGGCATCAAAAGAAATTGGGCCGACTCTGTTCTTAAACAGATTAAGATCTGGTTTCGCCTTTTGTTCAATTAAAGAAACCTGATTAGCGGAGGATTATGCTTCGAGGAATTCTAGTAATATATATACTTCAACTATCGCATGGGAATAACTTCCACGTGATTATAAGGTCGGCCTTGTTCTCAAGTAACATCTCATGGAGATTGAAAATGCACGTGAAGTTGCTTGAGATGTGATATGTCCATCTGAGCAAATCTATGTCACGGTTCCCAGGATGGGCTATTTCTAGTTCTGATAGCGGGACTGATCTAAATAACTTGATAATAGGAGAGCGATTATCTTGGGAATAAGGCCTATATGGGGGATTAACTCTCTCCTGTTTTTTCTCGTAATGCAGAAGAAAATTGTTTTAGAGCCTTTTAGTCTTGAAGATATATTGTCAACACTTGCTCCTTGTAAGGCCCGGCTCAGAGGCCGTATTCTCATGAGCCGAATCGAATTCAATAAATTAACTCATGTGAAGTATGGCGTCTGAATCAATTCAGCCGGTCTAAATTAATTTGGGTCGGCCTAAATTCAAATTCGATTCGGCTCTTGTGAAGTACGGCGTATGAACCGGGCCTTATTGAACTTAATTAGTTAACGTTTCTTCAAAGGTATGTAACTTTCTAGGCTCGATTTCCGCCGCTCTCTCGCGTCCGGTCTTTGTTAAATCGAGCCTAACAACCTTCTCGCAAAGTAAATTAAACGTGCACAAGGAAACGCTTTTGAACTCGAGAACAAAGTTGTGGTAGTTAGTAGTGTGCGATTCTTCTAATATTTCGACTTGCTTTTTTAAAACGTTCTGTAACCATTTAGCAACACCCGCCACTGTCAATATTTGCCAGTACTCTCCATGCCTTATGTCACTCCAAACCTTGTTCCCAGGCTCTTCGCTGGATTATGATCGGGCAAGGTGGGTTTTGTAGGTTGCAGGTTGAAAAATTGACTTTTATGTTCGGAATAGCTCTCCAGTTAGCCTAAATTAGCTTAGGTTGGTTGCGGTTAGCCTTTGTACTGGGGTTTATGCGACTTCAACTCAAATAAACAAGTCGTTTCAACCTGCAACCTGCAAAATATACCTACCGATTATGATCTAGCTGTGCAAGACCTGGGTACGGTGCTCTCTCTTATATCCCTTTCCCATAGTTCCTTGCGCTTCTGGTTCTCTGACTCTTACACTTTCATATAGAGATTTAAAGGAAATTTAAGCTCTGCAGCGTGTTTCCGAAGCTGTTTTGAGTAGTTACTATCCCGTAATCAGGGGAATTTTTAACACGGTGTCGTAATTATGTAAATTTCTCTCATCAAACTGAAATAATTTTGTCTCAGTATATCTTTGTCATATATCTCTATAAGGATTTTAAAAGTATTGATCGGGTCATTACAGTGCACTGTGTTCACCGTATTTCCTGTTTTCGAAAAAAACAAAACATACATATATATGGTCCGAATCGCATCAAAGTGGGCGAGGGTTGGATTACGCAATTCCGCGGATCGGACGTGTGTTTAGCGAGCGTGGAGCGCGATTGTAGCGCGAGTTGAGCTCGTGAAGCACTCGCGCCAGTAACTCTGAATCTAATATTAGTTGATCGAAAGTGGCAACTAACAACAAATCAAGAAGTGATCAACTTTCGGCGCTACCAGCTGAACAAATCATAGGCTGCTAATTGGCAAACTTTGCCAGATAACGCACTAAGTTGTTTACAACTCAAAGTCACTTGTAAGTGAAGTCTTTGAGATGGTCGTTAATGCGTGCATGACGACGCAAGTCTTGACCATTATTTTTACCTGTTTTTCGGGTTTCCTCGGAAACAAAGTATTATTACTGAGTTACCGGAAATAGCAGCGTAATTTTGCAATACAAACTCCTTCGGTCCCACCTGACCGATATAACTGAGAAAACTTTCAACAAATAAACTCAATTTGCGCGTTCAAGGTTTGTTTCATTTTGAAATAATGAAATTTAGATTTTCAAGAGCAAAGTTTATCAGGGAGCAGATATTACCTTCTAGAAAGTTCAGTAGGGTGAGCACAAACTATGAAAGGACCTCGTGATTTGCATATTTAATCATTCTCATCGCGTGAAGATACCTGTTGTGTCGCAAAATAATTTGACAAATCACGCGAAATGCCTCCAAAACAGATATCGCGCAAAAGGACCCCTCACGTGGTATCCATATTTAGCTTCATGTATAATCTTGGACAAGTCATTGGAAAATTATCACATTCTGTCAGCAAATCTGCGGCTACGAAACTTAACTCGAGCGGTATTTCGAATATTGCCTTAGGACCCTTTGGAAAACCGTCATTGAACGTACATTGTTTACTTAAATTAAAGAGGCTTTTGATTGCCACTATGCCCAAAAGCCGCAGAAACAAATTGAAGTATCTGTTATCGTAAGTTCGGAATGCATGCATAATGTGAATTCTCTTTGTATCGAGACAGCGAAATATTGTAGCAGGATTATTCCATCAAAGATTAGAGGTTAAAACGGGCGGAAAGAAAAAACAAATAAGGACCCAAGGAATAAAAGAAAAACAGACAACTGGTACTGACTGACTAGGCAAATATTAAATGCAAGACAAAATAGAAAAACAGACAATGTTTATCAACACAAACGTTGGTACGAGACACACTCAAAATGTAAAATACCGGCGCGGCTTTAAACTCAAGGCGGTGGCTTTTCAAACAATCAGTTAGGACTACCGAACCTGCTAGTACAACAAAATAATTTACTGATAAAAAAGACTTGTTCAACTTAAACATATGTTATGAATATCAAAGCGATTTCCTTGCAAACGTATGGCAACTGTTATCGAAAGTCCAATCTTGACAGGAAATGAGCACAAAATATGCCGTTTAATTTTACAGAGCCTAGTTTTTTCTTTAACTGCGTTAACGAAAACACTGAATTCAAACTAGCTTATAATAACTGGTTGGGTCAATACAACTTATAATTTCCATTCTGCAAAAAATATCCTTACATCGTGTGAAGCTCAAACCAAAAAAACCGTAGTTGGCCATTTTGACAGCACAGGTGTAAATAAAATGTTTCTCACTCGGTTTGTAATAAAGATTAAAGACCGAACTAAATCAGCCCAGAAAAATCAAAAGCTCTCAGCTTGAAAACGAATTAATTGTTCGCAGGCACAAAAGATAAAACAATTCGCAGTTTGTCGGGTGAGTTTTAAGTCTTTCAACGATTGGATGCGAATAATGTATTTTTAAATGAGCTGAAAAGTTTGTTATGAAAGAAAATAGCGGGACATTTAATTCGGACTGCTGCTTACGAATAACATTGTCCATCGCTTTTTTAAATCCCCTTTTACAAATGAAATGCGAATGCAAACAACCGTCTATAATTTAGTGACTGCAGCTTGTTTTCCCACGTCTCCATTTGGAACGAGTGAGATCCCGCTGTGGGCAAATCTCTGGGATGCGTCCGTTAGGTCAACGTTTTCTTCTATTTCCTGCTGCTGGGAATTTTCTTGTTCGCTTTCTCGCCCGTTCCTGTCACGTCTTGCTTTGTAAAATTCTCTTGCACTCTCTCGCGGTAAATCGACCTCAAACGTCTCGTGAAACCGCGAGATGTCAACACTGAAGTGTCCATCGCCAATTGACGTGTCCTTATAGCTCATGATGTCGACAAATAAATGACCCCAGTGAATTTCTTCACCCACGTACGAAGTTCGCGCTTGCATAGTCATTCCCGTAGGCTCAACGATCCCTTCTAGCAGCACAACTATTTCAAAGTCGGCGAAGAGCAGATCGTCGGCCGAATAATCGAAGAACGGGCTGTCCTCGTTGATTTCGTGTAGGAGGACAACAGGCGCGAACAGAAATACTTTCTCGTCATCGTCGTTGTCATTGTCATAAGCAACTGTGAGAGGATGTCTAAAGCAACCGATTTCCTCTCCTTCTAATGTTTTGTGCCGGCGTATGAAATAAACGCGAATGTGTGACTCAATCAGCTGTTTTTTCCTCAAGTCCGCAAGACGAAACATGAGGAAGAGTTTGCCATCGCGAGGACCGATGACCGCATGGCGAGAGAATAGTATGGTAGTTCTGCGTCTGTGAGGCCGCGAAAGTTTGGCAAATATAAGCCCCAGCATTGTAGAAGAGATTAATAAACCAATGATACATTGTATTAGCAGGCAAATGACTCCTTCCGGACAATCTGGTGTTATTTGTCTACCCCCATAGCCAATGGTAGTTTGTGTCTCTAACGAAAACAAGAACGCCGAAGTCCACGAGTTAACTTTTTCAATACATGTTATGTTGTTGTATTTAAGGCGATAACTGTATATTCCCCACCAGATCGATCCAAACACTAACCAGCTCACGATAAAAGCCAGCGAGAAAATTAGAATAACATATCGCCAGCGAGCTTCGATTAAAGTTGTGAACTGGTCAGAGAGGTAATACAGCTGTCCGCGGTCCGGCACGTTTACATAGTTAAGATGAACTCGTCCCTTCTTGTCCACTAATCTTCGTCGTTTCATCTTTCTTGAAATTGCCCTTCCATTCCGATGCGTGGGACCTTTCTCTTCTCTTATTCTTGGGCCAGTAACATCTAACTCAAGTTCCATAACAGCTCGTTTTACTCTAGTCAGAACTCGACGGTAGTTTATAGAACTCGAAATTGGTGTATGATCTTCCACCTTGACTCTAGTTAACAACGCAGAAATGATAAGAAAAGAATTGCCTCCGGTATTCACTCGGCTTTATCTTGCCTGTTCCGTACCGATACAAATACGAAGTGGCTAGATCTAATCTGGCGAAACGTGAAGAACCGTAAATCAAAATGTGCAGTGCGTGTGTAGAAACTCGTGTATAAATATGAAAGAGTTTTAACAGCGCCGCTACGCTTGATTGGTCATTTCGTTACCTGCCACAAAATGTACATTCAAAGCGATGATTGGTCCGCCAAGAGGTCAGTTCACGCACGACTTCCGAAATGACAATAGACTTTTAATAGACCAGCATCTGCATGAAAAAGCTGGCATCAACACTGTTTATTTACATCTTTTTCTGCCAAAAGGCGTCAATATCTAGGCTAAAAGACACGACATCCTGGCGTTAAGTAATTTCCCGGCAGGGCGTTTTAACAAAGCAGGTCATTTCGGCTAATGCTCATCAACTGTATTTCTGGAAGCCCAGAAATAGCCAGAACATAACCCTTGTGGAATAACGAATTAATGAATTTGTTGTAAGGTAATTTTTGTTTAATTGGTGCGAAGATATACTAGTAGCTGATCTTTCAGCCCTCTTATTGTTATTTAGTTGTTTTTGAGAACGTAGGTGAGAGTCCGCGAAATGCCGCGCTTATCTTTGCCTGTCACGCGCGTTTCTCGCGAGTTTCTCGCGCTTCACGTTTTATCATTCACGCAGACCACGCGTCCTTTGGCGTTCAGTGTTGTAAATCTCTTCATGTTTCAGAGTTAAAGACGGTCGAAATTAGTTGCGCGATTTGGATGAGGTAGCGTTCCACTCACTTTCAGGAAAACAGGGATTTCGTATTAAAGATACACATATCACGATTAATTTGGCAGGACAAATTTTTTCTTTTTAATCAGCAAGGGAACGATATCACTCCATTTCCCTCACAAAACAAACTCATAACTCATCGTTCATTCTACCACACAGTTATTTAAAACTTCCACCGGCTACTAAAGAAAATCCAATTAGTTCGAAGTTGTATGTCATTTCATCGGACTTTGCACCTTGACTTCCAACATTGGACCCTTACCAATATCTCATTATTTAGACCACCAACTGCCGTTATTCAAAATCAAATATTAAAGAGAGGGGGGCCTTGAATGAGATAAAATGAACGGCTGGGAGTTTGCTATTTTTACACTGGGAGAATGGGCTTTTATAATTGGAATCACAAACATAAAATGGGATTGGAAAACACCTCTGGTTTATATATATTTCATGCTCAATGGCATTTCTCAAGGAAACTAACACACTTCTCCTGCCCCGTGTCGGTGATATGCTTAGACAGCTGTGAACCTGTATTTGAGCATGCGCAAATCAAAAGAAGTTACGTAAGAGGACAATCTGTCCCGCAATTTAGAAAAAATTGGATGAAAAAAGTTCCCAAGACGGTTAAAATTGGATGAGGCCGTACGCCTAGTCCAATTTGACTGTCAGAGGGATTTTTTAAAATCCAGTTAATTCCAAATTGGATAAGCATCAGCTGAAGCAGGTTGTCCTCTCACATATGTTGCGTACTGGACTGTCAAAATTACTTGAAAATCTCGACACTATCCAAATTAAGGAGTAATTTGGACACTTTGGAGAATGATTCTGCATATACATATTAATTTTTTAAATGTAATTAGACTGAAAAGGGATTTTTTTTTTCTGAAACGGTATTTATTCCGCGCCTTTCAGGACCCACTTACAACACAACATCCAACTTTAATCACATTCAGACATAATCGTGCAGTGCCAAAGAAACAAAACGCTGAGCTTGTGAAACAACATGCCGACTAAGTGGTTATCTGCGTCCAGTACCACAATCGCCAATCATTGGTAATCGGAGTGACATCTATATGGAAAAGGCCGATGACTAAACAAGGATCGAAGGACTAGAAAATCTGTGGAACCTATATTTTCCCTTTATTCCCCACCATGCAGGATGCAATATTACCAGAAATACGCTATTGTATCATGGCATTTTGTCAGTGTTCCCTGCCTAATTCCCTTTCCCGCTAGGTTAGATTATCGGCCACTGTTCGGGAAAACGAGCCCGCCCTCTTCCCCTCGATTCTCGGGAGCACCTTCGGGAACTGAACCCGAGGGCGGCAATCGAACTAACTTGCCGCCAGCTCCACTGTGGTATGGAGGGTATACAGTGATATTATTGAGTTATTCAGTGCTGTAATACTCTCACGGGTTGGAATAAGAAAACTCCGAGCTCCGATCCGTGATGGGTAGGACGGCAAACAGTCTCTTTTTTCTTTTATAAACAGCCCTTGTGAGTCGCTGTGTAAATTTATTTTCTCGCTCAAGGACCTCGAAGGACTGCTCGCTCTTTTATACCGTATAATTGTCTCTCATTAGCCTAAGCTGGATATATTCTAAAAGAAAGGTCTGATTTTTACAAGTGTACAGTCAGGTTTTTCGAATTTGGATCAAACCTCCGAAAGTTGCTTGTCTTGTCATCAAAGTCGCCTGAAATGTCTTGGTCAATGAGTTAACTTGAGAAGCAGGCTTTTCCTTCTCCCCTCCCCTCAGAAAGGGATTGATACACACGCTAACAAACTGTTACAGCAGTTTGAAATAAGTTAAGTTAATCAGAATACTCTGCAACAGATAAAAATACCTTTTTGTCAATTCCTTTAAAGAACATGCTTTGTTTTTATTTCGTGCTACTTTTTGCACTACATGGTTTGAATATTTACAATTATATTGTACATTAACTACAACGATTAAGCCAATTCGCACGACGACGATTCGATGTAACGTCGATGTCAGTTCACAAAAACATGAATTTTTATCTTACTCGCGGTTATTTTTAACCATTCTGTTTGCTTTTTTCTAAGTTTTGTATCTCGCTCTTTCATAATTACAGCTATGTGCAAAGTCACAATACAATCCTAAAAAACAATGGAATTTGATTTGTTTTGCACTGCCTCGATGTCAGTTCTCCAAAAAACTCAGGGCACTATCCATTCGATGTAAAATTCTGGTTTCAATTTCTGCAAATTGCCAGTGACGAGTATAACATTTTCGGAAACTTTTGGAAAAGGGGACAACCTCGCGAGGTATAGTCAAATTTACGGAAATGTCTTACCGAAATTTTCCGTTCCATTGGTTTTCCTCCAAGAATGTTCCGGAATTTTCGTTGGAATAGTAGGCTTTTCGGAAACTCAACAATTTTCGGACTTTCTGAACACTTTTCTGGGAAATTTCCGTACCAAATTTCCCCATTTCGGAATTCTTGGAATTTTTGTTGAATGGAAAGCGCCTCAGTATATGAACAAGATGTACCAAGATGAATGAACAGCGCATGTGTACAAACGCCATTTTACTGCTGAAGTAGCTTCCATTGCAAACCAAGCCCGGATCTCACTTGCGACGCAAGTATAAGCATAAACATAAGAAGCTTACGCGTTATTGCGGACGGATGCGACATAAGTATAATCATTCATTCATCCCTCTGCTTCTGTTGATACATATGTCGGTGTTATGTTCAGTGAGGCAATGGTTGACATAAGCATAAAGTGCTCGCTGATTGACTGAAAGTCTTTCGCTTATGCTTATGCCAACCACGTCCCCGCTGTACATAACAGAGACAGAGGCATAAACATAAGAAAAGCGCAAGGTTTTGATATTCTTATGCTCATGCTTATGTCCGGCTGTCCCCACTTTTATGCTCATGCTTGAAAAATCGTCGTCTTAATTTGCCTATGCCTTCGTAGCATCTCACTATCTTTTCTTCTTTCCTCCACTTTTCTTGCCCTTTTTGCCTTTCTTTCCTTTTTTCTTTTTATTCTTCAGCGCCTTTCTCGCCTTGTGCGCGCGCCATAGCGACTGGATGAGTCTGGCGGCGCGTATTTTCAGATTCAATTCTTTTTCCGCAGCTTCAGCTTTTTCTTTAGCAATTCTTCTCGCCTCCACGATTTCTAGATATTCCTTTTCTAGCGTCTTGAAACGCTCCTCCAGTTCGTTAAGCTGTCTCTTTTCTTCCGTGTAAATTGCATCTAAAGCATCAAACTCGTCCTGGAAAGAAAAAGTTCATTAAAAGGATTTCAGGATTCAAGTCTGCAAAACTCTATTTTCTCTCCTCGAAAAGGAAAAAGCAGAAATAATTCAATAATTCACAGTTTAATAATAGATAATTAAGTAGCAGAATGAGGTGAGTTATTGGAAATGAAGAGTTAAAATAGCAAGAATAATACAAAACTAATATTAAAATCTACTAATTAATTTTACCAAAGGGTCTTGATAGCACAAGTGTTGTAAATATTTTTAAAAACACAACAACGCTTTTCAGTTTTNTCAAAAAACATATTGGCATGTTCACTGTTTCTAAAACAGCAAATAATATTGTCTACATATCTGTGATGGTATAGTACTCTAGGACCAGTGTAAGTATCTAACCAAAGTTTTTCATAACAACCCATAAAGAAATTGGCTAATACAGGGGCTAGAGGTGAACCCATAGCTACTCCATCTACTTGATCATAAAAGCAACCGTCGAATAAAAAAATGGGTGTGACTTGTGGCAAATTTGAAAACATGTTCCGAAAACTGAAAAGTGTTGTTGTGTTTTTAAAAATATTTACTAATTAATTGTAACTAAACTAATAAAGAGCATGCTTTTAGAAATAGAAAGTAAAAAATTGCATCATACCTGTCTTTCTCCCATATCAGTATCAAACTTTTGAATCCAGTTCTCTACCTCTGTTTCAATCTTGTATTTTCGCTAAACAAAAAAAAGTAATTGTGTTCAACAATCTTTCATAAAATGCTACAAAAACTTACGACACTGGACTGAGGTATTAGATAAAGAACCCTGTCTCTAATAAGCGCCCCCCCTCTGAAAAGCACCTCACATGAACTTCGAAAACAAAATGATCCTCCCGAGCACTAAATCAAATCATTATGGCACACAACACAACAAAAACGGGATAAAACACTGGTAGTAGTACAGTGTGACTTTAGGGGTCACTTCGCTTTACACAAGACTTGTCCTTAACTTTTTTATTGTTGGTTGGTACTAAATGTGTGAATGGTTTAAAATGATATACAGCCATACATCCCTCTGTATGCATTGCTGGCCTACTAATCTAGGCAGTAACATTTGTGTAGCAGAATCCTGTCTTTTGTTTTGACTATTTAAAAATAAGTTCACAGGATTTAGAAAAGTTGCCAAAGAAATGTGTGCAGATGTGATAACTACTTATTGGCAGTACCTTTCGCAAAGCCAGTTCACTCTCTCTATGAGCTAGTGTGTCTGACTCTAGTTTCTTCTTCAGCTCTATAATTTCCTGCTGTAGTTTGCTTTTCTTGCTGTCAGAAGTTTTCATTTCTGATGCATCTTGTTTGGCTGCCTCAGTTATGATCCTGCGACTTTGCTCCTCTGCAGTCTTCTCAACATTGTAGATGTCATTTTTCAGTCTTCGAATGATGTCATTCCTCTTGGAAATCTGTTAATTTATGTGAAGTGCAAAATTCAACAAATTAGCTACAGATACATATGTACGAGATACTGTGCCTTATGATTTAAACTATGATTTCCAAGTGATGGGGGAGAGGTAAGATGAACAGGAGGAGTTGCTCCCTAATTTGCAAAAGTCTCAGTTCCTAAACCCTTCTTTAATTTAGTGGCTCCCGTCTCACTTTGCTTGGCCTAAATGTATCACAAACTATTATGCAAAGTTCTACAAATATTATGTACATTTAATTTCCTGTTTCTCATAGTTCTAACTTGATTCCAGCAAAACAGTCTTTATTAAACAAAAAAGAAAAAAATCAGTCAGATGATTACACACAGCAGCGAGCAATAATTTTGATTTGAGCATCAGAAATTCTGCCAAATATTTTTACTTTTTGCTCTTGCCCTAGTTGCACAGTGAATGTTCTTGCATTGTAAGGGTCTCTTCATATGAACCCTGTCACCAGACTGGCTGGGTTACTGGGACGAATGTTGTTGCCTGTTCATATGGGAAATTTTAGCCTGGTGTAGTGGGATGAAATTCAAGAAACAAAACCAAACTGGTGGGACGTAAACTTGTATCATTCATGATTATCGTAGCTTTGTGGACCCTTGTAACTTACCTAATAAAGGTAATTCCATTTTGGCTGCTATGTTGCAAAAGCAAAGCTATTTTTTCAAAAACATTTCATCCTGCCACCCTGGCTGGAGTGTTCATATGGGAAAATTTTCATCTCAGTAAACAGAGATCTTGGTCCAAAAACCAAGATCTCAGGAAAATCTACTTGTCCAGATGACTGGACGACACTTTTTTCCAGTCCTGTACACTGATACACTCTGATTCCACGTCAGAGGTATTTACTGAGTTGTAGCTAAGAAAATGCTACGCTCAATTTTTTGAAGCTTCCCTATGGGTTGTATTTGGTAGGTATTCCAATATTGTATTGTTCAGTATTGCTGTGGTTTCAGCACTGGTTTCCATGTGCAATTCATGGGAGAAGGATTATTGCTCTGCTTCCTATCCTGAGAAGCTACAGAATGGTTTAACTGCCTATAGCTTGTACTTGGAGGACAATTAGAGGGTGAGAGGGTGGAGGTAAGGGGGGGGAGGGGGTGTTTTCAAAACATCGAGAACGTGTTTTTTGAATTTAAAAGATGTAGAGTACTTTTTAACGGTACCTCATTTTCTTTGTCATCGATAGCTCTCTTCAGTTCCTCTTGAAGTTTTCGTCCAGTTTCACTGGATTTCATCTCCCTCGCAACAATCTGCTTCAAATACTGTCTCCTCTCTTTCTCCTCGCTTGGTGTTGTTAGCAACTTCTCAAACAGAATCGCTCTCAAGGTAACCAGTTCGTCGATCATTCCATTCACTTCGGCCGACCGTTCGTTCCTAAGGTCTTTGAGTGCATTCATGGTTGCTGGATTAGAAGCAAACAAACGCAAGATATTTTTGACAGAATGCTTCATGTGTGTGCTGAGGCCATACACTACTTTGAGGTCTACAGCCTGATCGTCGCTCGCTTGGAGTGGGCTTAAACGACCTGGTTTTTGGCTTAAGGAACGCTTCCTTGAAGCAGAACTTGCCCTGCTTTCCTGCAGAACAACAGGTTCTTTGACGACTCCGTCTTGGTTTTCTGACACAGCTTGGGAAGCTTCACTAGAACGACGTGATGAAACATTCGATACTGTGGGGGAAGCGGACTGAGTGCGCCTTTGCTCGAGTGAGAATTTCGAAACGGCTTTCTGATAAGAGGCTTGTACACGATCATGCTCTTCCAAAACCTGAACCAGATCGGATCCAAGAATCACCGAGAAACGGTTCAAGTTCTCGATAATGTGAGGCAACAGTGAAACTAATTCCAATCTCTTGATCGAATCATCAACGACAGCTATAACTCGTTGTGCCTCGACCGATGTGAGCTTTTTTCTGACCGGATCTAAGACTTTAAGCGGATCCAGTGTGTCTTTAACCTTATCTTTCAACTTTTCCTTCGCTTTGGGAAGTAGTTGTTCAAAGCTCGAGGCCACAGAACCCGTTGTATCTGCCCTCACCACAGCTACGGCCGCCATCTTAGTGTTCCAATTCTAAATGCGTTTCGATCGAATTGCAGTCACCAAGGTAACCAACATTCCTCACGTGACATATAAACTCAAAATGGGAATTTTCGTCTATAGTTCTTTTTCACCTCATTTCATGTAACCAGTAGCCTGATGCAACACGTAACACAATCTTTCTCAGTAGGAGTGTGAAACACTTTTCTGTGAGATTGTTAGGAACAGTTTTCCTGAGAATCGGGTGCAAAGGGCCATCACAAGAAATATTGTGACTACTGCATTACAGTCCATTTCGAATGTTATTAAATTTAGCAGATAATTCCCTTTCGAGAGCAAGAGGCCTTAGCATGCAATCCATTGATTTCTTGAACACACCACATCTGAAGAGATTACTTTGAAAACTTCGAAAAATGTTTCAGAAATTAATTTTCTTTCTCGGAACAAACCCAACGCGGTACGCGCGAGACACGCGCGTTAAGGGTGAGACACGCGAGCTACGTGAGAGATGCACGGAGGCGAGGAACGAGTTGTACGTGACACAACGCGAAGATCAAGTAAATTGCAGTTGACATAGGTATCTGATATTGTCAAAAAGAAAAAAAAAACTATGAGATGCTATTTAAAAGGCTAAAACGTTACGAATTAAAAGAAAAACCGTCCGCTACTTGTATATTTTAGTGGACGGTCTTTTGCCCTGAAGAAAAGTTCGATTTTTCTTTCAAATAAATGAAATAGCATCTTGAATCTTACGCGAATATTATGGACAAAAAAAACCCCTTTAGCTGCAGAGAGGGCGACAAGACATTGTCTGTCATGTTTCATGGCTGAAACAAAGTACGGGAAGCTTAAAATGTTTAACTTCCTCAGTTGCTTCAAAAAGCAGGAAGTATAAACCGACCAAAAGAAAAGCAGTGATAACAGTTGCACAATGAAGGATGCAAAATGAGGATTTCAACACCCTTCCGCATATTTTGCCCTGAAACTGTTGCCCGTAATATTGCCGCTTTGTTGTATGTTTTCTTTCATTATTATCATTGTTTGTAACATTAGGTAACTCGAAGAATTTAGCAGAAATGTTACTCTGTAAATTTGGGAGGAAATAAAGTTTATTTGTGTATTTACAGTGGAGAAGAAGGCACATCGTACAGCAAACGGTCGTAACGTTTAGAGTTTGGGGCAAAGTGGCCTGATTGATGCATTAATATTTATAAAATGTTTCCTCGTTTGCCATAACCATGAAAGGAATGTGTTTTGACAGCACGTCTGCATTGAAGGCAAATAATTTCTTAACCTACACTTTCCGCTTCTTAACGTAGTAAGAAGATTAAATGATGGACTTGGGTCAAGGAGTTATTTTTAGTTCATTGAACGATAAAACTTCAGAGACACGACAGAAAGGAGGAGAAAGGATGCAATACTAACATTGATGAGCTGTTATTTTCAGTTTCAAATGAAAACTGCTTTGCTCCGTCGGTGCAATACAAAACACTAAACTTGTCTTCAACTTGGTAAATAACGAGAGCTGTCTGACGACTCTCACGTGTAGCTAATAAAAATCTGACATTCGTCATTCAGAAATCCATCGCAATCTTGTTCGCTCGTCTCTCATTTATTGTCACGTTTCCTTTTATCTGAGTAACTTATTAAATCGGGAGTTTTTTCCGATTTGAACGTGACGTTTAACTCCTCGCATAACTTAATATATCATCAAACAGCTCTTTTTAACCGCCATTTTAAATATTCCAGGCATTAGCCCATGGCCGGAATGCTTTGCCTATATTATCTACGCTCCATAATGAAAAATCACTAAAATTTTCCATCTTATCTAACCGTCTGCATTCCTCTTTGAATTCCTGCCCGGGGAATTTCTCTTGTATCGTTCAAGCAAATGTGTCCATTGTTTAGCGTTTTAATATGAGTCTAAGGCAGTTTATATGAAATGGAATCACGTAAAATAAAACAGTCTAAATTATAGCGTCTAGAATTCATTGTTCTACGAGTACAAGTGTATTTATACGTAAATTGGCTACATAATGGTACACTCTTTCCACCATTTATGCACGACGTTTGTAGTTCATTTAACTTAAAAACTATCCACTTTCTTCCTTTTTAGTAGCCTGTCCCTTTTGTTTCTCCTTCTCTAAGAATCTCTTGAACGATTCATGCTCTTTCATTTCCTCCTCGTCCCAGTCTTCATCTCTTTCCTCCTCATCGTCACTGTCTAAATCCGCACCAAGCGAGATGTGGAAGGGAGTTGCATGCACGGACTCAAAGGTCTGGGCACCACTTTGAGCCGTTTCCATGGCAACAGGCTTTCCTTGACCCAGATCTTTCTTCAACTTCTTCAGCTGATCATCTTTTTCTTTTTTCGCTTTTTCTTCTTTGTCTTTCTTCAGTCTTTCGTATTCTACAGGAAAGAGTAACAGAAGCTCTATCAGAAAATCAGGCATGCCAATGGGTCTTGTTCAGATAATGATTCTATTAACTCTGAGCTCTGCCTTGTTACCAATGAAACCATCCAGGTGTCAAAGTACACGGCCCTTAATTACTTTAATTTCAAATTTAACACCAAAACGATTGAAGGTAGAAAGCAGCCACACCTGTTTGCAATTTGATTGACCTGACTTTGAACCGTGTAAGCGCATCTACCGACAAAGGTGCATGTACAGTTAAATTTGTGTTCAAGCCGTGTACCTTATTAGGCCAGCACTCATCTCCAATTTCCAATGCATGATGCAAAATGGACAAAAATATTTCTTGGATACTCGTGTATAGCATCACAAATTAGTTTACCTGGTTTGTATTGGGTCTCAAATTCGACAACAGCATCATCAACTGCCTTTAAGAGCTCGTCAAAGCCAGCCCCCGTCATAGATGACACACCCACTGTTCGCAGATTCTGGTAGAACTCATCAAGAACCAGACTCATTGACCTTGTCAAACTGGACATGTAAGTTGTGTCTTGAGACAATGCCTCCTCAAAAACTTCAAAATCCTGCATCCACTCAACAGCAAAGTTATGATCAACTATATCAGTCTGAAAATATGACAGAACATTTATTTGTTTATAGATCAAAAATTATTGTGCATTGGTAAAGAATGAATGAATGAAAGAATGAATGAAAGACTTTATTAAAGTGTCAATAGTATTTAGCTTAAAAAAACTAATAGGGGACACTATACACAATATTGCACTGCTAATTCCTGGTTTTCATCTGCTCTGAAGACATTCACCCAGGGACTGCTAGCAAGAATAATAGATGAGCAACAAACCTTGCAAACTGTCAGCTGATAGAACCATGTTATCACATAGCTTCAAAGGCATGCAATGTGCACAACACAATATTTAGCTACTGCATGTTAAAAGTGTATTTGTGAACCTAAGCAATATAATTATGAGCTTATTGACAGAGCAGGATAGCTGAACAGGAAAGTATTTTGCTCAAGATTATGGTTTACAGAAAGAGCCCATCCAGGTCCATGCAAAATGACCAAGTGCCAAATATTTTCATATCTGGCCCAACCTAACCTGGTCAATAAGTACTTTATCATACTGCCCCGGGGGGCACAGCCATATATGGGCTATATAGGTATGTGCCACTGTGAAGGGTATGGTTTTCAAGCAGTTTACTCTAGGATAGGGTATATAAATCAGAGCGTTTGGGTCTAGAATGGGTATCATTTTTCACAAAACTGACTGGTTGGCTGAAGATTTTATCTGGACTAAGGAAACCAGGAATTGTCACTCAAAAATATAAAAAAATCAAATCGGCAAGTTTAAATGTTTGCAAATCAGCCTCAACAGTGTCGATAGATGGGGGGATTTCGGGAGTTTACTCTAGTATAGGGTAGCAAAATTCAGCTGAACTAGCTCTGGTATAGGCTAAGGGTTCCAGGGTCCCAGCGGGACATCCCCAC